ATCACGATAGTATGAAACTAGAAATAAATTATAAAAATTGAAAAACAAACATGCAGAGCATAAATAACATGATACTAAACAATGACTAGATTAACAATGAAATCAAGGGAAAAATTAAACTGAAGGCACAAAAACCCAAAATCTATGGGACACAGAGAAAGCAGTTCTAAGAAGGAAATTCACAGTAATACTCAAGAAACAAGAAAACTCTCAATCTAATCTTACACCAAAAGGCACTAGAAAAAAAAAAGAAACAAAGACCAAAGTGAATAGGAGTGAAGAAATAATAAGGATCAGCGCAGAAATAAACAAAATAGTCTATAGAAGCAATAGAAACAATAGAAAAGATCCATCAAACCAGGAGCTGGTTCATTGAAAAGATAAGCAAAATTGCTAAACCTTTATCTAGACTCATTGAGAAAAAGGAGAGAGGACCCAAATAAATAAGATCAGAAATAAAAGAGAAGAGACAACTGACACCATAGAAATACAAAAAATTGTAAGAAAATAGACTAGATGCCAAAAAATTGGACAACCTGGACAAAATTGATAAATCCTAGAAATAAACAATCTTCTAAGACCGAATCAGAAAAAAACAATCTGAAGAGATTGATAACTACTAACAAAATCAAGTCACTAATTAAAAAAAAACTTCCAAAAAACAAAAGACCTGGTTCAAATGGCTTCACAGGTGAATTTTATCAAACATGCAAAGAAAAACTAATACCTATTCTTCTCAAACTACTCCAAAAAATAGAAGAGAAGGAAAGTCTCCCAAACTCATTTCACAAGGCCAGCATTACCCTGATACTAAAACCAAAGACATTACAAAAAAGAGAATTATAGGCCAATATCCCTTATGAACATAGATGCAAAAATCCTTAACAAAATGTTAGCAAACTAAATTCTGCAATACCTTAAAAAGATCATATACCATCATCAAATGGGATTTATTCCCAGGATGCAAGGTTGGTTCAGTATCTGCAAATCAACTATCATGATGCACTCCATAAACAAAATGCAGGATACAAATCATATGATCATATTAACAGATGCAGAAAAAGCATGTGACAAAATGCAACATCCATTCATGATAAAACTCTCAGCAAAGTGGGGATAAATGGAACATACCTCACCATAATAAAGTCCACATATGACAAACTCAGAGTTAACACCAAACTCAACAATGAAAATTTGAAAGCTTTTTCTTAAGATCAGGTATAAGACAAGGATGTCTACTTTCGCCACTTTTATTCAACGTATTTGAAGTCCTATCCAGTCATCAGTTAAGAAAAAAAAAATAAAAGGCATCCGAATTGGATAGGAAAAAGTAAAATTATCATTATGTGCAGACAACATGATGTAAAGAAGCCTAAAGAGTCCACCAAAAAAAACCCCAAACAACTGTTAGAACTGATAAACTCAGTAAAGTAGCAGGACACAAAATAAATATTCAGAAATTGGTTGCATTTTTATACACCAATAACCAACTATAAGAAAGAAAATTAAAAAACCGTGCCACTGACAACTGTATCCAAATAAAAAAAAAAACACCTAAGAAAAAATTTAACCAAGGAGGTAAAAGACTCGTGTTCTGAAAATTTTAAGACATTCAAGGGAGAAACTGAAGAAGATACAAATAAATGGAAGTATATACCATGCCCATGGGTATGAAGAATTAACATCATTAAAATGTTCATACTACCCTAAGCAGTCTATAGATTTAACGCAGTCCCTATTAAAACACCAGTGGCATTTTTCACAGAGCTAGAACAAATATTTCAGAAATGTATATAAAACCACAAAAGACTCCAAATAGTGAAAACACTCTTCAGAAAGAAGAATCAAATCAGAGGTATCACATTATGTGATCTCAAACTATACTACAAGGTTATACTAATCATGGTACTGGTATAAAAAAGGACACATAAATAAATGAAAATTAGAGACCCCAGAAATAAACCCATTCCTGTATGATCAATTAATCTGTGACAAAAGAGGCAAGAATATACAATCGGATAAAGACAGTCTCTTCAATAAACAGTGTTGGGAAAACTGAACAGAGACATGGAAATTACTGAAGCTAGATCACTTTGTATACCATATATAAGAATAAACTCAAAATGGATTAAAGACTTAAATTGTAAGACCTAAAACCATAAAACTCCCAGAAGAAAACACAGGCAGTAAACTCTGTGAGCAATACTACTGTGAGTAAACTACTCTTAGCAATATTTCTTTTTGGATATGTCTCTGGCAAGGAAAACAAAAGAAAAAAAACCAGACAGGACTACAAGAAACTAAAAAGTTTCTGCATAGAAAAGGAAACCATTAAGAAAACAAAAAGACAATGTACTGAGTGGGAAAAGATATTTGCCAGTGATACATCAAATAAGGGCTTAGTATCCAAAATATATAAGGAACTCATACAAATAAACACTAAAAAACACCACCAAAGAATACAATTTAAAAATGGGCAAAGGATCTAAATAGACATTCCTCCAAAGATGACACCCCGATGGCCCAGAGACATACGAAAAGATTGGCTCAGCATTAGTAATCGTCAGGGAAATGCAAATTAAAATCACAATGACATATCACCCCACACCCGTTAGAATAGTTACCAACAAATTAACAAACATTAGAGAGGATGTGTAGAAAAGGGAACCCTTGTGCATTGTTAGTGGAATTGTAAATTGGTGCAGTCACTGTGGAAAACACTAAACTCACTATGGAGGTTTCTCAAAAATTATAAAAAAAGAATTACTATATGTCCTAGCAGTTCCACTCCTGGGTATTTATCCAAAAAAATCCAAAACACTAATTTGAAAAGATATATCACCCCTATATTCATTGCAGCATTATTTACAATAGCCAAGATGTGGGAGCAACCTAAGTGTCCATTCACAGACAACTGGATAAAGAAGAGGCAGTACGTATATCCAATGGAATATTACTCAGCTATAAAAAAGAATGAAATCTTACCATTTGCGACAACATGGATGGACCTAGAGGGCATTAAGGAAAGTGAAATAAGTTAGACAGGGAAAGACAAATAGCATATGATTTCACTTATATGTGGAATCTAAAAAAAAACCAAAAAAAAAAAAAAAAACACCCCAAAAACAAAACCGAAGCAGACTCACAGAGAACAAATGAGTACTTGTTTGATGGGAGGGGTTTGTGGGGCCGAGTCAAAAAGGTGAAAAGGATTAAGAAGTACAAACTGGTAGTTACAAAATAGTCAACAGAAATATAAAGTACAGCATAGGGAGTATAGTAAATAATTCCCTGTAGAAGGTGCCAGGTGGACACTAGATTTCAGATGGTATAATCACTTCATATACTGGACACGTGAAGCTATAATATTGTATGTCAAATGTACTTGAAAAAAATCACCACTAATATGCTAAGATACTGATTTTTAAATACATGAGATAAAATAGACTTTAAAACAAAGGCTGTAACAATAGAAAAAAGAGCATTTCATAATAAGGAATCAATCCATTTCTAAATACCTCCTAATACCATTTCTAAAAAAAAAGGAAAAGAAATCAGGGCTCCTTGGAGAAGTAGTGGATTCCAGGGCCAGAGTAAGTCAAACAGAAGGTGAGCCTGGTATATCTCCTGAGGCCAGAAAGTTAAAAAGTGCCAAGAAAAAACAACAACAAGGCAGCATGTCAAAAGTATGCGGGAGCCAACCGGACAGAGTTCCTAAGGTTCAAAACTACATGTGTATCAGCAAAAATGAATAATGATAGCACTGGCTTATAATGTAAAGTTTAAATAAGTATCCTTGTGTCCGTACTGCTATAAATAAGTAAATGGGGATTAGGGGACAATGTGTCCTTACAGAAGAAGTCCAAATAATAAATGTGGAAGGAATAAGGAAAACAGAAAATCTCCACTAGACCACCACAGTAATAACTGAGGCAGACCTGCTTCACCAATTAAAATTATATCTGCAAGCCTTAACCCATCTCCACCCAAATAAATGAATTGTAACTTTACAGTGAAGAAATCTGGCGGGGCACCATTTTAATCAAACAATCAAGTTTAACATCACTAATAAGATGTTAATGTCATGTCCTCCCTGATGTGATACAATGAGAAGGAAACATCACTTCAGTGGCATTCTTTCCCCATATGCACCACTTTAATTTAATAATTATTTTCTCTTGTCCAAACCTCTGAGGTGGAAGAGAACCATGCATGCAGGTGTCTAGTGGGCGGTTAGGCGTCAAAGTCTAGAATTTGGGGCAGAGGTGTGGACAAGAGAAAAAAATGGACAACAGCGAGGGGAAGTCCAAATTCATTCAAGTTGAATTTGTCTTTTCAACACTAGGCTCACCCGTTTCCCTCCCCCACAGCCTTACATCTTCTCATGAATCACCGTGAACCAACACAGGGATATATACCTTCACGGAGGTGACACACACAGAGACTGAACATCACACATCGGACGCCAACCTAGAGAGGGGTACACAGAAGCTCACACTCACACACACCTCCCCATAGGTCACAGAGGTGCTCACACACACACACACACACACAAATGTAGAGGTCTCTAGGTCACAGGTCCACACATGTGCTCTCCCCACCCTCAAATAGGTCACAGAGGTATATAAGCACACACATCCAGATGCAAGTAAATACACCTACAGAGGTCACAAATGCACAGTTTTCTGGAGAGGGTAAGGCACGTTTTCCAGGATATGGTGAGGTCTTTTCATCTACCCGGCTGATGACCTTTGACTGTGGGGAGCAGCAGCCCCAGCTGGTCATTGGGACTCCCTTTGCAATTTATTCATATAAAACTGATAAAACTGATTCCGAGAGGACGTGTAAAGACTCCAGGGGTCTGTTACTCCACACTGTACACCTTCATATTCCATTCCAGGTGACCCACTGGGAACTGAGAACAACTCCTTCTAAGGAGGAGTACACGGCCCATCCACCTGCTATGAAAGATCCACTGCAAGAGTCAACTCTCCTCTTACCAAACAGCTTCTGCAGGACTTGTCCATCATACAAATCTTCAGCCAGGTCCTTCACAATGATCCTTTCTCCAACCAGCACATCATTAATCCAGTCAATTAATACCTAGGGAGAGAGTGAGAAAAGAAGAGTCATAAAGTATTTTCTTATAGACCAGCTTTTTAATCCTGGACAAATATAATCTACATGCACTTCAGATTTTGAAAGCAGGAGAGCTATCCTCATGACCCAGTTTGTGGACGAGTAGCTACAAGTGTGAGCCCCAATGGCCCGGTTCATTTTCAGGTGCAAGCCCTTCTCATGATGGTGACACAAGTGTCCCTGTTAGTATCGTCTGGCCCCTACCATTCCTTACCCTAGTGGCAAGCAACAGTCAGGGTCTGGACGTGGGTTGGCACTGAGCAGAGTCTGGGCTTTGGAGCTGAAACCCCGGCTTTACCCACTAACTCTATGGCCCTCTCTGTGTACCTCCTTCCCTCCCTTCCTTCCCTTCCTCTCTCCCTCCATTTACCCCCCCCCCCAACATTTATTAATACCTCCTGTATGTCATACTCTGTGCTGGGTCCTGGGGATAGGATAATAACAAAAAGAAACAGTCTAACTCCAAGAAACTCAGCATCTAGTGAAGGAGACAGAGAAGTGTCATAAGGTGACTACAATGACAGAACCAAACGCACACAGCAGCTCACGGAGGGGCTGAGTGATGACACTGGGGTTCATGGAAGACTCCCTGGAGGATGCGACCCCACTTTGACGCTCCTCTGAAGAGCACGCAGAGGCGTCTGGTGGCAGGGGACTGCGTAAGCGAAGGCGCGGCAGTAGGGAAAGCTGAAAGCAAGCACGGTATATATTGGGGGAGGGGGGCTCACGAGCAGGCCCGGTGTCCCTGTGTTGCCAGACAGGGCACGTCTGAGGTTGAGGGGGCAGCTAGAGCGTGGAGACTGAGGAGACTGCAAATACCACCCCCAGGAGCATGGGCTTCAGTTGGGAAACTGCACACAGGTTTTGAGCAGGAAAATGATATATTCAGATTTGCATTTTGAATGAATCATTCTGGCATCCAGTGCCTACTTGTCTTGTTTTCAGCGAAGCTTGGAGAAGTTGAAGAAGAAAAACGCAAGATGGGGAGTTAGAAGAGGGAATGAAATGAACGTTTTTCGAGGGGTGACCACATGCCAACCCCTTTGCCCGGTGTATTATGCACACAATTTCATTCAATCCCACTTACGTCTGTTCGATTTCCATCTCCTCCACTCAGCTGTGACCTGAAACAAACCACTTGGCTTTTCTGAGACTTGGTTTCCTCGTCTGTAAAATGGGCTGATACTAATTCCTACTTCACAGAGAACCTTTGAGGGCCCTTAACAAAAACGATGAAAGGAGCATGTAGACTCCAAGGCCCTGGCAAATGTGAGCTTATTTGCATTTACTTCTCTGATCCTTGTTATCAACATAAATTCATTGGGCATTCGTCATGTCCCACTTTTAAATGTCCCAATTTTAAATGTCCACTTACTGGACCGTGAGCTGCCTACAGGCAGGGACTGGCATGACTTTATTCTCTCAGCAGTGGCTTGGGTGGTGCCTGCACAGGGTGGGTGGTTTAGAGATACCTGCTGAGTCTGGGAGGCACCTGAAGCCCCTAGTGTCTTCTTACCTTCATCAGTTCTTGAAGTTTGGGGTCGCTGCGTGAGTTGGGATCCACCATCGTTCGCACTTCGTTCTCCTCTTTAAAAAGAAAAGGAAGTCAGTGGGGGTGGCTCCCCTGGAAGTCATCAAGCTGCCCCAGAGAACAAGAGACCCAGTTACCCAGCATCTTACCCAGCATCGTGTCCTCGGGGTCCAGCTCAAAGGGGATCGGGCTGAGGGGCAGGTTGATGGCGTTCATGCCCTCCTCCTGCAGCTCCGACACTGCGAGAAGAAAGCGCAGGGTCACATCACAGCCCACTGATGGCAGGGGAGTGGATCTCTAACAGACCTGTTTGATGCTAATACTGAGAAACAAACCCATTAAGGTGCTTCTAACAGCTGTTGTTCAGCCTGCAATCAATTCCCCACCTCACCTTGTTAAAAACAAAAAAACCCAAAAAACGGAACTGTCCCCTTTATGTCATCTCTTCCAACTGTCACCTCATTCCCTCTTCTCTGAGAAATAAGGGGTCTGCCTTCTCTCAGAAAGAATCTCGGAATAAATGAAAGTGAAGTGGGCACTGGCGTCTTTCTCAAGTCCCTGCCTCCTACCACCCCTCCTTCAAAGGGCTTGCTGTTGGGGCACGGTGGGCACCTGGATGAGGTCACCACATTAAGACCACCTTTATGCGGTAAGCCACCTCCGTCCTTGGCTCAGTCTCTGTGTGATTTCCTGATTCTGCTTCCCTGAGTATTTTTCTGATTGTCCTACTTCCCTCCTTCACCCCTGGAGGATGCCTCAGTCCAGCCTCGTTCCTGGGCTCTGGTCCTGCCCCTTCAGCTCTAACAATCTGTGGGCCTCAGGAGCCACCTTCTTAAATGCAGTGGCTTAACTCCTCTCACCTCTACTCAATTCCAGTTTGGATAATTACTTTTTATTAATTGAGCACAAAAAAGAGCATCTTCTCTAAAAGCGTTGGTCAGCAAAAGGTTCTTAACATGGCAGCTGCAATCAACCTTACTAGAAGCAATGTCCCATCTTTCCATTTTATTTTATTTTTTATTGACTCTGGCCTCGCCGATTGCCAGTATATACTTGCAAGAACTCTTAAGCACAAGGCAGCCGCTTACAAAGAGTTCTTTCATATTAGCAAACTCACTGATGGTTGCAGTTGGATGGAGAATGAGATTGCCTAACAAAGAGTGAAACACACTCTACCCCAAAGAGACACAACTTGCATTATAAAGCTGGTGTTTAGTCCCAGGGCTGTGGACCCTTGACATTCATATGGGATATCAGCCAGTCACCATCTTGAATCTCTAAATTCATAGACACTCACTACCCTATATAATTCTCCCCCATAAAACATAATGAAAACCATAAGCGGTAACTTCAAGACTGAAATGATTCTATAGGTATAGGGTTGTATTTGCTTTCTAGAGAAGAACTACCGTTTCCTTAGACTTCCATAATTTCTTCCAATATTTATCCTAGGACTGGCAGTTTGCTTCTTTTCCAGGCTATTTCTCGCAAAGAAGCAAGATGTGCATGACTTAACAAGCACTGCTGTGCAAGCAATGGGCAGTGGAAATAAAGTCATCCATAAATGTGGGTGAGAGGCTGGGCTTACTGGACAGGGAAAAATCGAGCTTCTCACCAGAACCTTCTCTACCTATATTCTCCCTCAGGTCTATGCTGTCCAATACGGTAGGCATTAGCTACATGCAGCATTTCAGTGTAAATGAATCAAAAATTTAGTTGTTTAGTTGCACCTATCACATTCCAAATGCGCAATGGCCCACATGTAGCTAAGTGACTACCATACTGGAGAGCTACAGATGTAGATTTCCATCATCGCAGAAATGGATGGCATTGTCCTAGGTGACTGCACATATATAAATGCTAAATGTCCTCATTTTGGTTTTTTTAAAAATAAAACTCAATGTTTTGTTTTTTTATTAATTAATTTATTTTTTCAAATACATTTGTCTCTGCCTTCCCCCCACCACTTTCCCCTGCCCCCCTCCCCCCTCTCCCTCCCTCAAGCTTTCTAAATGTCCTCATTTAAATCTCCAGCATAGACTTGACCCTGAGCTACAGGTTACTTGATGTCTTATGTCTGTTAACAGAGGTCCCAAATTTACACCTCCAAAACAGAACTCTGATACCCTCACTCCAACCACAACAGCACTGATGCGAGACTGTTCTTCCCCTATTTTTTGCCTCCTCAGTCATGGCCCCACCATGTATACAATGGTTTAAGCCAAAATCCAAGGAATCATCTGCAACTTCTTTTCTCCCCCCTCACTTTTGCCTCTAATACACTGGCAAGTTTTGTGGGCTCCATCTCCAAAACAAGATCCAATTCCAACAGCTTCTCACCAGCACCACGGTTCAGTCTATTGTTACCTTTCACCTGGACCACCAGAACCACATTCTAACTGGTCTGCTTTCTGATACTTATTCCCCACCCCTCATCTACCGCCCATAGCAAAGTCACAATGATATATAAAGATGTAAACAGGAGCATACACTCTCCTGCTTTAAGACTTCCTGTCACACTCACAACAAAACCCCAACTCCTAAGACCCATAAAACCCCTTAATTAGCCCCCGGCCTCCCTCATGTTTCATTTTCTTCAAGTGCTCATTATGATCCAAAATCATGACTATTTACAGGTCTGTTCTCTGGCTCCCCTGCACCAGAATGTAAGCTGTGGGAACGCTGGCCCTTTCTCCTTTCTGTTCACTATTAGATCCCCAAAGAGGAGCCAGGCTTCCTTGATTCAAATCCAGGATCACTTTCCACACTAGGCGACCTTCGGCAAATTCATCAGCGTCTTAGACCTCAGTTTACTTATCTGCAGAATGGAAATAACAATAATATTGCCCACCTCCTAGGGCTTGTTGAGATGATTTAAAGTAATGTATGTAACATATTTAGATGAGTCCCTGGTACTTGGTAACATCTATGTAAATACATGCTATTATTATTACTTAAAACAATACCTGTGCACAATAAACACTCAAGAATTACTGGCTGAATAAATAAATAACCAAAACTGTTATCAGGGATAAATGGTAATGGAAAAAAATACAATAAAAAATAAACTGTTAAAAAAACTGTTAAGACTCCCCCTTCAGTTGCACAGGTTGTGAGTTGAAGTACAGTTTGCCAAAACAGTATACAGGATGCAAAGGATTCCAGCCTGTCTTCGGGAAAAAGAAAAATTATACTTTGGCCTGACCCTGTGCACGCGTTTCTGGGGCAGCATTTCCAGCTCATATCTGGGTAGGAGAGAAAAGCCGCATGTGTCCCAAGGCTGTAGTACAGCCAGGGCCAATTTGTGAATATAGAGATATTTACACCTCTCAAGGGTGACTAGAAATAGAATATTCGCAGCCAGGACCCCTAAAGGTTGGTCAGAACGGGATCTCTTTGACGTGGAGATCATTGTTAAAAATGTTTTCAGATAAAAAATCCCCAGTCAGAAACACTCCCCTCTGCCCTGCCTCTTTAATTCACTCACAGAGACAAAACAAACCCAAGAAGAAAGGCTGAGAGATGTTTGCAATTGAAAATGTTTTTTTCAGGAAATGATTTGGTACAGGAACATCATTCCCATCCCATTAACTGCTGACTCGGAGCCAACTGTTTGTAAAAGTGAATATGCAAACTGCCCAGTTCAGGCCTGGCCCCCGCCCCATGGGGCCGCATTAGTGGCCACTTTCCCAAAACAGCCCGCCTGCTTGGGAGGTTTCATTTCTATTAAACCAAAGCGAGACCCAGCAGAAGCCCCTCACCAGTCCTGCACTCTGAAAGAGAAAGAGCTGCAATTGAATTTTCTCGGCATAGAATATGAATGTGATGTTTATCCCCCGAGCCTCCTCTAACAATCTAAAACTAGGTCTGAATGTGCAGCCCTCGGTGTCTCGCAGCGCCATTAGTCATAACTTAATAAACAGATTAAATGCCCAGCTGAAGGTCGGCTTGGGAAAGCAGGGCGATTGCCTCAACTCCTGAAGCGTGCACCGTGAGAAAGGGGGCTTTGGCTTTTCTGGGAAATGGAGTTTGACCCTGGGTCCAGCTGTGCAGCAGAACAAGTACATGGTGGATGGGCTCTGGAGTTTGGAAAAGCTGGATTTGAATCCTAGTTCTATTTTTATCTGCGTTGGGACCTTGTGTAAGTGACTTAACCTCCCTGAAGTGAGGAATCAAATAATTCTCTATGAAAAAGGGTGTAGCTGACACTTCTGATTTCCTCCCAACACTTATTTTATTCTTTCTTCCCTGCTGAAAGGACCCCCATTTTGTTGTAGCATCGGTTCCTCCCCCCCATGCCTCTAGGTGAGAACCTGACTGGTTTATACTAAGCATGACAATCTCAATTCTCTTAGCAGTGACTGGCTGAAGCATTGCCATGTGATCCAACTTTGGTAAGTGAGCTGTAAGAGGAAGTTTCTAGAAGCTTCTGGGAATGTTTTCCTCCACTTTAAAGAGACGCCCAAGGAAGAGAAGGTTATCTTTCTCCTTCTATCTATTATTGCCATCAGGGTGTTATGCCTGGATCTGCTACAGCCATCTTGTTGCCATGAGGTGAGTCAGCCCAAAGAAAAAGCTCATCAGTTAAAGTTGGCAGAAAAGAAAGATAGAAAGAAGGGGGTTTTTGTAGACACAGTTATGCCACCATCCCCAAAGCCACCCTAGCTTTATGTCCTGTTATAAGAGAAGTATTCAATAATAAGTTCCTTTATTACTTAAGCCAGTTAAGTTGGCATGTTCTGAGGCTTGGATCCTAAACTCCCTAATCAATATATGAGACACCAGGATTGTAAAATTGATGGATGAATACAGCAGGTCTGCAGTGAATGATAATTTCCTTTTCTTTTTTTCCCATGAAAAACAGTATAGTTGCAGGCATCTCTTACACTCCAGAAATACATACAGAGACTCAAAGAACACTTGGTAGGAAACAAGTATTGAAAGAGGAATGGACAGAGGTTTCTGAGAGTATGAAAGGGCCCATTTATGGAAGACCAGTAATTTCATTCATTCAACCAGTAAACATTACTGGGCACCCTCCTCCAAAGCAGGCCTGTGCCAGCAAGGGGCATAAGGTGTGGGGATGTGGCTTGGGTCTGCCTCAGTCTGTTCACAGGTGGTAGAGGCGGGACTATAAACACAGCACGCAGAATACCGCATTGAGGAGTGAGAGACATGGAGCCAGAGGGCTGTGGGAGTCTAACTTTGGATGGGGGCGGGGGACAGGAAAGAGCCCCAG